GGGCCTCGCTGCGCTCATGCAGGGAGCAGGCAGCGGAAGGATGGACTTGAAGATCAGCCTGGAAACTGCCCGGCCCGTTAAACTGCCAGGCCTGTGTGCAGCCGGCCTTGTCCCGGGGGCCAGGGCTAGCGGCTCTGCCCTGTCCGCCTCCCTGCCTGTGCAAGGTACCTGCTGGCCGCGGGCTAGTGGCTGCACGGCCCAGGGTCCAGCCTCGCTGTCTGCCTCGGTGCTGGGGGCACGGCCAGTGACGGCAGTGACTGTTGCAGGCTGAGGAGCGGCTGCTGAAGAGGGTGCGTCGCAAGATCCGGAACAAGCAGTCGGCCCAAGACAGCCGCCGCCGCAAAAAGATCTATGTGGATGGGCTGGAGAGCAGGTACCAAGCCCGGCGTGGGCGGAGGGAGCCACGCATCAGTGATGTGGGCATGTCCCCCTGCCACAGTGCCTGTAGTAGGGGCTGTATCCATGACCTGGGGCACGGGGAGCAGTTTCATAGGAGGTCCTGTTAGCCCCACACCCTCGCCCAGCTGCCAGGCTGCCCCTGCAGGGCAGCTGGAGCTCTTGCTCCTGTGGCTGAGGGCCCAGCCCCTGCTGTGGGGGAGCCAGGCCCTCTTCCCCTGGGAGCCTCCGCCTCTTCCGCTCACATCCCATGCCCTGCCTCGTCAGCTGGGGGCTCCTCCCAGGTGCCTAGCACAAGGGCCCTGCCCCCGTAAGACCTTGGGAGCCCAGTGCTAGGAGGACTGAGTCATGTGCAGGGAGCCGGGCCCTCCTGCCCTGCGCCGTCAGCCCCCAGGCGCTGAGCTGAGCCCCCAAGTCTGGTCTGGCTGATGCTCTGTCTTGTGTCCCCCGCCTGCCGGAAGGGTGGCAGCCTGCACGGTGCAGAACCACGAGCTGCAGAAGAAGGTGCAGCTGCTGCAGAAGCAGAACATGTGAGTCCCCAACGTGAGCACCTGGCAAGGGCAGCGGGGCCCTCTGTGGTCCTGAGCCCCTGCAGGGCAGCACCAGCGACTGGTGCGGAACAGTCCGAGCCTGTTTGCCAGGCACGCTGAAACTACGGGACCAGGGGGGATGGGAGGAGGCTGGCCTGGCCCATGGCTGCGGCTGTGCTCACCCCGTTTCCTGCTCTGCTGCAGGTCGTTGCTGGAGCAGCTGCGGAAGCTCCAGGCCCTGGTGCGACAGTCCTCAACCAAGACTACCACAGCCAGTACCTGTATCGCGGTGAGTGGCCCAACAGCCAGGCCAGGGCCTGTCCCCTGTGCCGCGGGAGCCTCTGCCAGCCCACACTCTCTCCTGCAGGGGCGCAGGGCTCCCGGCAGCGTTCGGTCCCCAGCCTTGGGCCAAAGCTGACGGCTCACTTTCCCTGCAGGTCATGTTCCTGTCCTTCTGCCTCATCCTCACGCCCAGCCTCTTCTTCGGAGCAGGGGGGCGGCAGCAGGAGCTGCGTGGAGGTGAGTGGTCGACTGCAGGGCGGGTGGAAGAGGTGGGACTTGGCCTGGCAGTCTGTGCTTCCTCGCAGAGCTGGGCAAGGCACTTGGCTCCTCCTTGGGCTCGTCTGCCCCGCCAGGCATGAGAGTCATGCGCTCCTCTCTTGCAGTGCTGTCCCGGCAGATCCGCGAGTTCCCGAGCATGGGGGACGCATGGGCAGTGGCACCCGATGGGCAGGAGGAGAGCATGCCCACGGGGCTGGCCCCGGAGCCAGAGCCAGGTCTGCAGGACAGCCTCAACCGCTCGCAAGAGGGCAGCCACGGTCTGTCCAAGGCCGAGTCTCGCTCTGCCATCAGTAGCAACTCGTCCTCTGATCCACCTGCGCCCAGCGCCTCCATGCAGGGCTCCCAGCAGGCCGGACATCCTCCACAGGAGCCCTCAGGGCGGAGCTCCCTGCCCTCCACAGTTCCGGTATCTTGGGAGGCCAAGAAGCAGGAGTGGGTGGAGCGCAGCACCAGCGTCATCATCCAGCAGCACCATGCGGACGAGATGTGAGTGCCCAGGCAGGCCCGCCCAGCGCAGCCTTCTTCACTGCAGCGCTGAGTGCCCCGCTGCACCTTCTCCAGCAGTGTCGGCCAGACTTGGACTGTGGGGGCCAGGGCCTCTTTGGGCAGTGGGGCAGAGCTGAGCGGGGAGGTCCGTGGCCCCCCGGGGTCAGGGAGACCCCCACAGTGTGCTGAGCTGCAGCTGCCTGGGGGGGGGAACGGGCACCAGCAGCAGGTTCCCCTGGCCCTTTGGAGTTAGAGCCTGGTGCCTGGGCTGGCACCAGGCTCTCTTCTCTTAACTGGGCCCCAGGACAGCCCTGTTTCCACCACACCCCACCCCTTTGGCCTGGGCACCGTGCCTGGGCTGGGAGGTCCCTGCATGGTGCTGTACCTGCTACTCCCAGGTGCTGCCTGGCTCCTGCTGGGCCAGGTGCCAGGGCCACTATGGGGACCCTGGGGCACAGGAGGGGCTGTGCCTCAGGATAGGCAGACCCAGAGCTCCAAAGCCATGGCCTTTCCTGCTTGTACATAGCTGTGTTGGTGACCCATGGGGGCTGGCCATGCCAAGCCTGCAGGGACCCCCCCCCCCTTGCAATGAAGCACCAATAAAGCGATCCCCTGCTGTATTGCCCTGGCTTATTTGGTCCCAGAGCTGTCGCCTGGGAGGAGCAGCAGCAGCCCCAGGGCCAGGCCCAAACAGGCTGCAGCTTCCCTGGGACCCTCCAATGAGCCAGGCTCGGCCTCTACTGCCCAGGATGCGAGGGAGGCCACATGCTGTGAGCTTGCACCCTTGTGCACTGCATTGTCCTCTTGCCAAGGAGCCTCAACGCAGCCCGGCTGCCCTCACCTGCCCCAGAGAAGCTACCCCCTCCCCTCTCCCTCACCTGGTCTCTCAGCAGGGGCAAGGAGGCCCAGGCTGAGAAGGCCTTGTGCAGCCATCCTGGGTTACTGGCTTGGGAGAAGGGACACGCTTGCTGCTGGGGAGGAGGAGCAGGTCCTGCAGGCACCGTGGGGGGGGCAGGTCCTGTGGCACTGGGGAGCAGGGCAGCACTGCCGCAGGTGCTCAGCTCTGGTTGCTGCCACAGCGGACCTGGGCCCTGCACTGTGGCCATCTGCCCTCTGGCCTTGGGCTGCTCCCCTGGGCTGAGCTGTCTGCTGCATCTCCCCCTGGGCCTGCCTCCCCACCCGCCCCACAGGGCAGAGCCCGCAGCACCCCTGTGTGCGTGTACCCACAGGCATGCGCACTCAGGCATGTGTATGCACATATATGCAACAGCTGGTCAGCCCTTGCACGTGCTGAGCCAGTGCCTGCAGCCTCCGCTGGGGCCAGGGCAGGCTCCTCCACCCCTGCCGAGAGGTGCATGGGTTTGGCCCAGCAGCACCAGGCCTGGGGAGTGCAGGGTCCCACTGCTTTCCTGGTGGGACGGGTGGGGGCGATGCCTGTGCTGTGTCCTGGTTTGTGGCAATTTTATGAGGAGTTTGGACGGTGCAGATCCTGCCTCAGGCCGGACTGGAGTAGCTGTGAGGTCTGGGTCCCCTCCAGCCCCCTGCTCTGGGATTCAACACTTTGGCACCCATGCTCTGACTTTGGGGCTGTGCATCCCCAGGCGCCAGGGCTCAGGAGCAGCCTGGGTGAGTGGCCTCGGGGCTTGCAGGGATTTGCGGCCATGCCCTGTCCCACACCAGGGGGACGAGTTAGATCTAGAATTCCCAAGACAGCTCTCAGAGGCAGCGTGCTCAAAGGATCGGGTTGTCATGGGTGAGTTTAACTTCCCAGATGTCTGCTGGGACAAACAGGCAGCCAGGTCTGCCCATTCACAGAAGTTTCTAACCTCCTTACAGGACCTTCACCTATCGCAGGAGGTACATGTTCCCACTAGGGGAGATGCCTTACTCGACTTTGTACTGGCCACAGGGGACGACTTTGTGGGGGATCTGCAGGTGCAAGGTAACCTAGGGGATAGTGACCACCTATCGATAGGGTTCACTATCAGGAGAAAGGTGGAGAAGATAAGTATCAGGGCAGAAGTGCTAGACTTCAGGAAGGCCAACTTCAACAAGCTCAGAAGATTAGTTAGGGAGGGACTGACTAGTAAAGGCCTTGGGGACATGGGAGCCCAGGAAGGGCGGGCGTTTCTTAAGGGACTAATCCTGCAGGCACAGAAAAGGACCATCTCAGTACACATAAAAGGGAGTAAAAGAGCAAAAAACCCCTCTTGGTGGAGCAGGGAGAGCCTGGAGGGGAAAAAAAAGAGGCCTATAGGCTGTGGAAGAAGGGACTGCCACCAAGGAGGAGTATACGTGTTTGGCTCGAGCTTGCGGGGAAACAGTGAGGAGAGCCAAAGCCAAAATGGAAGTTAGGCTGGCAGCAAAAGTCAAGGATAACAAAAAGCCATTCTTTAAGGACATAGGAAGCAAAAAGAAGGTGTGGGGTAATTTAGGGCCCCTTCAGGACGAACTAGGACAACTGGTAACAGATAGGATGGCCAAAGCGGAGCTTCTAAATGATTTCTTTGCATCCGTATTCTTGGACACAAATACAAATACGCATCCCATTGGGACCTTAGGCAAGACCAGTATAGACACCAGCCCGCCAACTGTTTGTGCTGACATAGTAAAGGAGCACCTGGAGGGTTTGAATATTTAAGTCAACAGGTCCTGATGATCTTCATCCTAGGGTACTTAAGGAATTAGCTGGTGTCATAGCAGAGCCGCTGGCACAACTGATCTGTCCAGGCCCTGGGACTCCAGGGGAGCGTGCTGCCTCTCTGGGGCCCAGAGGCACATGCCCCCGGGAAAGAGCTCGCAGGGGCTCACCTGGCTCCAGGGGCCACATGTGCAAGCAGGTGCTGCGGGGGGGCTGTGCTGTGAACCCCTGGGACAGTGCCTCCGGTTTGGGCTCCCCGGCAGGGCACCGTGACCTGTTCTGGAATGGGACAGGCGGCCAGATGGTAACAGAGCCTTGCTGCAGCACGGACTGTACCCGTGCTCGCGTGGGGGGGTGGCTGCACCTGCTCCCAGCACATGCCAGAGCTGCTGGGCTCGCACACGCAGGCCCCGGATGGATGGACGGACGAACAGTCCCATCCCAGCCGTCGGTCGCAGAACCCCACTGCGTTGGGAGGATGCTCGGGGCCAGGAGCCAAATCCTGCTCCCCAGCTCGTGTTGCTACTGCCTTGGCAGCTCCGGGAGGAGGGTGCTGCACCCCAGCTGGGAAAGCAGGCACCTCCCTGGGGCTCGAGGGGAGGAGAAGAGCTGGTGGAGGTCCTGGAGCAGCAGGTCCTCAGGGAGCAAGGCCCTGGGCCAGTGGCCACGGCAGGGACGCCTTGGCCTTGCTGCTTGTGGAAGATCCTGCTCCAGCCTTTCCACCTCTTCCCCGTAGAAACAGAGGGCTGGTGTGGCAAGGGAAGGGCCTGGGCTCAGTGCTCACCAGGGCAGGGATATGGTCGTGCCCAGCCCGGGCCCTCATTGAGGGCAAGGTGCAGCGGGGCCGCGGGGGGAACTCGCAGCACAGCCAGAGGCTTCGCCCGAATGCGTTTATTCAAGGCCCGGTGCCGATGTCGCCAAGAGACCCAGAAATGGCGATGTTTCTGCTGCCAGGTGAGGAAAGGAGCAAACCGGGTGACCCCCAACAGCCTTGGTTTATGGGGGGAATGAGGCACCCTTGGGGCAGGTGGGGCTGGGCCGGGCTGGAGTGTGAGCCCTGGGCCCAGAGCAGCAGTGACACGAGACATGTCTGTGGCTGGAGCCATCGCCACGCGGGGACACGGCCCGTGGGGGCAGGAGCAGTGCTGGGGGGAGGCGGAGAGGAGGGAGACGCTGCAGCCAGCGCAGCCCCGACAGCGTGGAGACAGGCTCAGGGAGGTTCAGGATCCGGGGACCAGAGCCCTGGTGCTGGGCCTGGCTCCGCGGGGCTGCAGCACTCCTGCACCGTCGCTGCTCAGGTCCCCTGCTTCCCTCACTTGACGCGGGTGAAGACGTTGGTGCCGACCCTGCGGGGAGGCACGGTGCCGTAGTGATGGGCCGTGCCGGGGCTGCGGTTGGTGCTTCTGGCGTGTGCACGGGGAGGCACGGCCGCCTGCGCTCCCCAAGCACCCGTCGCCATGGCGGGGAGGCGTGGGCACGCACGTGGCCATGCCCAGCGCCACCCGGCTGACCACCCCTGCTCCACTCCTGCTCCAGGAGGTCAGACCAGAGCCGGTTCCAGCCAGGGTCAGGGGCCCAGTCCCTGCCTTTCTGCCCCGGGCAGCGCTGGGGCCAGGGGCCTGGGCAGGGATCTCACCTGGTGGCTTTCCAGTCTTCTCTGGCGGCGGCAGCCTCCTCTCGCAGCAGCCATGCGGTCCTCAGCGTCTCCTCCCCATCACTGTCCACGAAGCACTGGCCCACAAAGGCGGTCGTCGCCCCTGCCGGGGACTCTGCCGGGGCGCACGGAGGCATCAGCACGGCTTTGTGTGTGGGGGGGTGACACCAGCCCCAGCCCCAGCCCCCGCAGCCCCAGCCTGCAGGTGCTCAGGGGCTCGTGCTTTCCCACGCAGCCCCCGAGTCGAGGCTCCGGTACGTCCAGGCAGGGCCGGGCCGGGGCCCGGTGGGGACAGCAGTGAGCCCAGTGCCAGGGACTTTCCTTGCAAAGGGTGATGGGGCAGTCCGGGGCCTCCCGCCGGGAAGGATTGTGGGACAAGACCCTGCTCCGCCGGCATGGCCCAGCTGCATGTGGCCGCCTGCGCGCACGGCATGTGGGAGCCTGGCCGCTGGACCGTGAAGGAAAGCACCTTCTGCAAAATGCCCTCCCATGTGCGGGCGTCATGGGCCAGGAGGAGGTGGGGGCTGCCAGTCACGCTGCCCTGCCCTGCCAGGAGCCATTGCTGCAGCGTGCCGAGGGGGCAGCTGCATCCATCCGCAGCCCTGCAGGGCAGGTGGCATCTTGGAGACTGACCGGCTCAGAGGGAGGAGCTTTTGCAGGTATGGAGCAGGCAAAGGGACCATCTCCAGCAGCAGCGCCCTGCCCTGCGTGCCCCAGCCCAGAGGCAGCTGGGCCCCGTACCTTGGAAATGCCAGTGCACGGTGAAGCCAAAGCTGGGCTGGGTCTTGTAGCTGGTGTCGTGCTGGGCTCCCCGCAGTGGCGACGCCAGGACATCGTTGTGGGGGACCATTGCCTTCTGAGGCAGGTACAAGCCGGAGAAGGCCCCATCTTTGAGCTCGAAGATGAGCATCCGGCAGCCCCGACTACTGGTCCAGGTCCCAGACAGGGCGCACTGGCACGGGAGGGACGGGGTGAGCAGGAGAGACCAGCCCTGGAGCTTGAGGCACAGAGCTCGCTCCCAGCCCTGCACTCCTGCCGTGGCCACCAGCACCCGATGCAAGTGAGTCCAACAGCCCTGGGAGACTCCCTGGATTAGGTGCTGAAATGGCCCTGGGAAGGGACCTGGCCTCTCTCTCAGGGCAGAGGGAGGGAAACCCCTGCCCCGTGACCCTATCAGTCCAATGCTGGGCTTGGCGATGGGTTTGACCCGAGCACGTGGCAAAGCTGGACCCTCCCACTGGCACCACAGGGGCTCCACGACCTGCAGGAGCCTGGTGCACAGAGCCAGAGCCCCTGGCACAGCCGCCGGTACTGGCCAGGGCCACAGAGACACCCCAGGAGGCAAGGGAAGCATCGCCCCCCTGCTTCGCTGGGAGGATTGTGCCAAAGCTTCGCTGCTGGACTGCACTCCCTGCCCCTCTGCGATCACCCAGGAGGCTCCAGGGTAGCAGCACTCAGCGGTGAGAGCCCCACTGCCTCGGGGGCTCTGAGCTGCCTGCCCCAACACAGGTTGCTGGGCTCAGGTCTCGTGCTCTCCCACTGGTGCTGGCACCTGCTCTCTGCATTGAGACACCAGGCCCGGCACGCGGCCTCCCCAATCATGCTTCATGCCACACGGCTCCACGTGTACACGTGCAGAGTGAGCATAGCCCCCAGGCACTGCCCACACCAGCCCAGGGCAGCACAGACCCCTCCATGCCACGCCACGCCACGCCACGCCAGCGTGCCCCCGCACCTTTTCCTGTGCCGCAGCAGCAAGAGTCACCAATGCCAGGGTGAGGAGCGAGAAGCCACTGTTCCCCATTGCTCTGAGCTGTATGCAGACACCAAGCGAGTTCCCCCAGGTACCTGTGCCCAGGGCTCTGCACCCAGCCCCTCTATATAGCGGCGGGGCTGGCTGTAACCTGAGGAGGGCTGGAGCCAGCAGTGTTGATGTTGCTGTTGGTATTTGTTCCCCGTGACCAGGAGCCAGCAGGGTGCTGGCAGAGCCTCATCGGTGGCCCATGTGTAAGTGGGGGGAGGCGTTGCCCCAGCCCTGTTCAGGCCCAGAGCTGCTCAGTGCCCTCACGAATACCGTGGCAGGTGGAACAGGGTGCACACGGAGCAGAGCTGGGTGAAGCAGCAGACGTCTGGGAGGACAGGACTAGGGTTCCCAAGGCCCTGAATAAATTGGAGAAAGAATCTCAGAAACCCTGGATGAAGTTCAGTAAAGACAAGTGCAAAGTCAAGTGACTAGACACGAAGTGGGGAACAGCTGGCTGTACTGCATAAAAAGGACCTGAGCACAACAGGGGAATCACATGTTGACTGAGCTGCAAGTGTAAGATTATTGCAAAAAAATCTAATTGCATATGGGGATGCATGTCATAGCCTCCTAGAGCTGTGGGGCTGGTAGGGACCTGGGGGGTCATGTCTAATCCAAGCCCAGCCTGAGGCAGGATCAGCCCAAACAAACCCTGTATCCAAGACTGGAGCAGCACGACACCATCACCCTGACACAGCCCCAGGCATCACCCCCGCCCCTGCCCCTGCCCCTGCCCCGGGGAAAGCAGGGGGCCACGGGGTCCTGCTGCTGCAAAGTGGGTTAATACACTCCTGAGACCCCAGGCAGGGCTGTGCTCCTGTTGCAGACGAAAGTGAAACCCCTCCAGAGTGGACCATTCTGAGCAGGGGGAAATCCCTTCCTGCCCCAGTGCAGCATCGGGCTGAGCCTGAGCGCAGGGGCAAGACCCTCCAGCCAGGACCCTGTGGGGTTGGTGCCAGCAGGAGCATTGGCACAGCCCAGCCCCAGTCCCATCCCCAGCCCAGGCTGCAGCCAACACCCAGCTGCTGAAAAAGTCCCAAAAATCCCCCCAAATCCCCAAACACCCTTTGCTCCTGATACATGTAGCAGTAGATGGGGGCAGGGAGGGGTGGAAGTCCCTCCTGGCTCCAGAAGCAACCAGCAAAAGGAAGATGGATCATTTTTGTCTGGGAGAGCAGTGGCGCCCTGGAGCGGGTTACCTGGGGGCTTGGGGCGACCCCTGTGGCAGGCCAGTCCGGGGAGCGCCTTCGTTGAGCCCCCCACCTCCCCACGCCCGTCCACCTGCCGGACTCCACGCGTCTCCCCAGGGGCGCCTAAGCCCTGGCAGACCCCCTGTCGAGCCCCACCGCAGAGTCCGGGGGTAACGTGCCGCCACCACCCCGAGAGGGGACCTTCTAGGTCCTGTGTCCTTGGGGAAACACAGGCCTAATAGTCCTACGGGTACTCAACCCAATACAAGCACGTGGGGCTCCTCCCCAAGTCGGGGGCCAAAAAGGACAGTCTCCCTTAGTCCGCAGAGCCAAGGGGCCTCCTAGGCATAACTAAACCCACCCCTCAATAAGTCTCCTACACCAGTCACAAAGGAGAACAGTATTGGTTACAGAGGGAAGGGGTAGAATAGGGTAAGAGGTAGAGCACTACTGAGGGATTACCATTGAGTAAAGCAGTCTGGCTGAGGTAGCCGTTTGATACGCAAATGCATCACGGGGAGCTGACGAACTCTCTAGAAACGCTCACGAGTATCACTCAGAAGACAGTAGAGATCTGGCTCGGAGATTTCCAGAGAGAGAGCGTTTCAGATGGATCAGACTCTCTCCCTGTGTCCTGATGCTTGTGCCATGCTGGAAAAATGGCTTCTCTCCTCCTTCTCCTTGCACCAGGCCCTTATATCGCCTTTCTGACCCCAGCAGCCCAGTCCAAGAGAAGCCAGCAGTGTTGGCAACTCGCCGACCAATTTAAAAAGCATCACTGGGGACCTGGGCAGAGGAGCAGGGGCTTTTCCCTCCCCCACTCAGGTGCCCAGAGGGAGCACCCCTCGGCACCAGGCTTTTGTCATGTAGGCAGAGGGAGCAGGTTTCCCCCTCCCTCAGGAATGCATCCAGCTCAGGTTACCGCAAGAGAGAGGGTAAGGATGTCTCTCTGCTGGGCCCATCCTAATCACATTGTCACAAAGCAGAGTTTTTGAGGGAGAAACAAAGGTGGCTTTCTGCCACAGCCCCATCCAGGGAGGTTTTCAGGCATAGGTCACACAAGCATTTAGCTGGGACAGGCCAGGGGCAGAAGGCAGGTAGAGGCGCTCCTGGCAGACCAAGGCAGAGGTGCGCCAGGAGTGATGACAGGCTCTGATGACGACAGGAGTTCAGACTCACAAATGCCTCTCTGATTTAGTCAGTCTATAAGGTGCATCTCAACCCTGTCTTCTGCCAGCACAGCTAACTACCCCTCCTTGAATAAGTTGGAGTGAGCGGATGTCCTAAGGATCCTAACATCATGGGGGCTGGATGCACCTCACTAATTACCAGGGATCCGGGATTTCTGTCTCCCACGAAGAACAGAGAAAACCACAGATTTCCCATTTTTATCAGAGAAAATGCGGATTTTCCCTTTTAGAAGAGAAACCCACGGATTCCCCCTTTTGCAAAGAGCTTTGCAGGCTGGCTGAGTTCCAGCCTACAAGAGCTGTTTGCAAAAGGGGCAGGAAACCCTCAACCCTGCCCAGCTGCAAACCCTGAGTCGCGAATGCTGCGCTCCCCACCCTGCTGCCCTCCCCCAGGCCCTCTGGAGCGCAGCGTGTGCAGCTGGCGTGGCAGGGCACAGTGCGGCCATGCATGAAAGCTGCCTGCCCTGCTGCAAGCTCCGTGCTGCCCTGGCCACATTTCTTCTGTGTGCCTGGGGGCAGCACACCCCCGCCCTGCCCCCA